TCTATTTGTTTGTAGTATTACTGTCTCATAGAAATATCATGTGAGCCACAAATGCAAGTCATATATAATTTAGAATATTCTATTAGGCACATTTTAAAAAGTAAAAAGAGAGAGCAGTAAAATTATTTTTAATAATATATTTTATTTAACCCACTATAGCCAAATATCATCATTTCAATGTGAAATCAATATATAAAAATTCTTTCATTTACATTGTTTTTTCATACAAAGACATTGAAATGTGGTGTGCGTTATACTGACAACACTCAGTTTGGACTAGCTATATTTCAAGAATAACTAGCCACATGTGGCTAGCAGCCACTATATTATATGTCTCAGGCCAATACTTTTGTTAAGGCAGGTCCAGAGTAGCCTTAGCTCTGCAACTGGTTTAGTCCTACTACTAAGGACTGGCCCTTCCAGAACTGGCTCAATGAGATCTCTTCACTCATTGGTTAGACCTTCAACAATGTCCCAGCCCTATATAACTTGGAGAATAGTTTGGCTTACAGCCCCCCAACAGTTCTTTCTTTCCTCAGTAGTGTACTTTGCCCAGCTCCTGGAGCCTCACCTCCACATGTCCACTAGAATTCGGCCAAAGGCTCAAGAGATCCTCTGTACAGATTCCTGAACTCTTTCTCTGCATAGCTCCCTCCTTTCCAGCGCTGTGCTCTGTAAAGTTCAGCAACATTTGCCTCCTGACTGCCAATCTGTCTCCTCAACTTGGCAAGATCACTGTGCTTGCTTGGAGTCCCCTCCCAGCAAAGATCTGGAAAGTGGCCGCAGGCGGCAAGTCTGAGTGATGCTAGGGCTCGCCTCACTAGCTTCTCTTCTCTGAGGACCACAGTTGTGCTGCTGGGGGGGTGGGGGTGGGTAGAGGTGGCCGCCAGGCTGCTCTAATTATTCTTAATGACCAGAAGAAATTCTACCTACAAAAAAAGTTTTGGTGTTTATTTATTAGTTCTACTGTTTAGCTCTTTCATAATTACTTTGGCCTTTATTAATCTCTTATTGTTTTACTTAATTTTATTCTTTTGTAACTTCTTTTATTTGTATTCTTTCTTGTTTATTAGAATAGATATTTGGGGCTATGAACCTTTTCTGAGGATTCCTTTGCTATTTCCCATAAATTCTGATAGGCGGTGTATTTGTGGCCATTATTCTCGAGATATTTTGCAATTTTATTTTTCTCTTTGACCAAGGATTGTTCCAGAGATTTAAAAACTTTTTGAGATGGTAAAGCTTTCTGTTTCAGTTTTCTGCTTCTGTTATTAATTTTTAGTTATTTGGAATTATAAAGTTATGTAAACTGTTTAGAATTTTTAAAAAATATTGGTTTTCTTTGTAGCTTAATGCATAGTCATTGTGATTTTACCACAAACCTTTATAAACAAGGTATAATTTTTTTTAAGGTATAAGTTGTTGATTAACTTAAAATGAGTGTTAACAATTTGTGCACACAAAATAAATTAAAATTTACAAAAATATAGTATATACGTATGTGTAAGTGTGTATTTTTAAATTTTCTTTTACATTGGGTGCCAGTGTAGATTTATTTTTAAAATGAGATTCAGTGCTAAAAAGTGTATGAAAGCTTTTAACCTCAATGACCTTGAAGGTCACCTGGAATGTGTAAAATGTTAAGATAAATTTGTGTAGGCCCTAGGGTGACCCCTGAGTAGAGCTGAAATCAAAGGCTACCTAAAGTATTCTTTCCTCTTACTTTTCATTCTTTTTCTTTCTTTCCTCTATACGATATGCTAATTAAAAATCTAGATTACACAGACCCAGGCCTGGTGTTATACCAGTCTGTTATCAACAAATGAGAGTACATTAAATAGTTTTTAATTAGTCTTAGGAAAAGCAAAGGTGAAATGAAAATTTAATTCTTATGGACCTTTGTTCAAAATGCATTTTCCATCTCTACACTAAGGAGTGAATTTTAATTAGCTTGATTCTCACTGTTTGGCCATGCATTTGTAATTTTTGTCCACACTTTGGGGAAAAAAACTGATGAAAGAAATTGGACAATAATGGGAATCTTGTCCGAGCAGAACAAATTGGAACTATCAAATATATTGCAGGATAACACACGCTGAAGTTAGGGAGAGAAGCATCAGGGCTGGTGGCTTAAAATAATTCCTCTCCCCAAAATGCCACTGTCCAGCCTGGCACAGTCATGTTCAGTACAGAGGGGTACAGCCCAGAGTGGAAAGTGCCTTAGTGCCAGGGGACCTGGGTTGGACCTGCCTCTGACCCTTAATGATAGGTCATTTAATTCCCCTGATCCTCAGTTTCTGCATCTGTAAAATGGGATAATAATGTGTACCTTGCAGCCTTCTGAGGATTGAAAGAAATGAATTATGTGAAAATGCCTGGCATATAATAGGGGCTCAGCCAATGACCAAGAGGATTGCAAAGGAAGGATACGTGGCTGAGCTGAGAAATACTTAGGAGGTTCTCTGCTTATTTCCTGTTGAAAAGAAAGAAGTGGGCAGGGGCCAATTAGTGTGTGCATGTATGCTGGGGGGGGGGCGGGGACGTGGACTGGGGTATGTATCTTCCTAGACCACCTTCTTCTCAGTAGCTTGGGACAGTAAACAACCAAGGTCTTTTGCAGAGGAGTCCATTCAGGACTCTAACCTGCAGGTGTGCAGCCCTGGAGTCCATGATTTCCCCATGAGCTTTGTGGGACAGCTGTAAGGCTCCTGAGGTCCTTTAAGCACACTGCACCAGTAAGAAAGTGACTTAAGAGTTTCCCAGCCAGCAAGTAGGTCAGATAGCACACATGAGCATGGGGAAGGGCTCTTGGCAAAACATCATTAGGTGCTATGGAGAGGCGTCAGAGAGTGAGGTGATGTAGTTCTTGGCTTGGAGCTTATAATTTAACAGAGAGAACCAACAGAGAAAAAATCCCC